AAAAAAAAAACAACTACTGCTTTCTGCTAATGCTTTCTTGCTAGACTGCTTAAAAGTTTTTCTTAGTTTGAGGTCTGAACGTTTCGTCTTTATGGTCCTTTATGGTTGATGCTTCCTTACAAGTATGTTTTGTACCAATATAGTTTCCAGTTGCACGAATCGTTGGCGATTCAGCGGTCTATTAGTCCTTATTTGTAATGGCAACCATCACTGCGACCAGATACGTCGACACAACTTACATAATTATTACTATTTCCCTAACTCTTAATAAGGCGACAGAGATAGGATGAGGAGATAAAAATTTATTGGTAAACAACAGTGAATACGAAAACACTTAGCCGGTAGTGAGCAAAGGAAAATTTCTCTTTTTTTTATTTCTTAACTTTTTCAAAAAGAGGATAAAGCCGATAAATGCATGAAGAACTTTATAATGCTTCGGTTTGCACAATAAAGGTTTACAAGGTACGATAAAAAGTTTCAATATATTTGGTGATGAGGTATATAAAATATAAAGATTGTCTTGTCTTCAACATTTTTGGTGTATTAATGTTCTTTTTGCGTTGAAGTCTTCAGAAAACTTTCTCACTTCTGCATATTGTTCCTGGCCTGAAAGAGAAGAAGCGATAAAATTAGTTTGTAGTGTTGAAAAGTTTTAACAGGATTAATCTTTTTGAGTACAGTGAATATGACAACAACTGCAGTGTATGCTTTTTCAGATAGGTCAATAAAAAATTTTTGAAAAAATAACTGGTAAAAAGCTATCAAAAAAAACCCGTGTCAATATGAAGAAGAAAGAACAGAAAAGAAGCGATGAAGAACTACTTTTAGGTAAGTGTGTCATAAAGGATCTATTAATGTTCTCTTCTTCTTTTTTTTTTTTCTGATTTTTTGTTAGTTATTTATGCTTTATTTACGTATTTATTCTTCTCCAAACTGCGAGATAGTCTCAATATACTTATTTGTTGTGGAAGAAAAAAGTGGAAAGAGTAAGGTTTGATGAACAAAACATAGTGAAAATAATGCAATGAATTCTGTTAATGTGTATTTTAAATTACAAACTTTTGAAATTTTTTTTAACTACTGATGTTTCTTTTGATAAACTTTTGTTAGCTGAATAGAATTAAATAACTTGACAATTATGACCAGACATTTGTTTGCTGTACACTTAAGCCTGAAAAGACGTAATATATTTGTAAATTTATTGGTCTTTCCGGTCTTTATTTCTTTGTATTTTTGCAAACTTCAAAATTTCAATTGCTCAACGCTTTTTAAAATTAAATTTTGTATAAATCTGTGCCATATCATATCATTCAATGTTTCCAACTCTAGAAAAGAAGCCACGGGTTTGTTGCGAACGATCTTCGGAACCACTACCTAGAGAAATTCCACCAAGTTTGTTAAAAGCCCGTCTAATGGCCGATGACAACAGCATTGATATGTTCCTGCAACTTAAAGGTATTTCTCTTTTTTTTTTCCTTTCTTACATATTCTGTAATTCATTGTTTTTTCAGGCGAAACTAATTTGTTTGGATCATAATTTTTAGACCTATATTTAGCGTGTGCTGTTGTAGTTAGATCTAACAACGTGCAGAAAATAATGACAAGATTTGATCAATTTTTTGGAAATATAACTCATCTTTCAAATTGAATGCTGAATTTATTGTTGAAGTAATTTTTTTTTTTTTGATTATTTCAGTTAATAAAATATTATTAATTGACTGATTTAAAATTACTGTGGCAGAAAATTTTTATTTAACGAAGTTCAATTGTTTATTTTTATGTTTTTACTTTTTTCTTCCAATTATAAACTTTTATAATTGTTTCGTTGATTGATCAAACAAAAAAGCACATTTCAAGTGGAGAGAAGAGCTGTAGTATGTGTTCAAAAATATATTAGGATAAAAAAAATTTTTTAGATCAAGTATCAAATTTGAAAAGTTAGGAAAAAATCATTCTTTTTTTTTTCTGAAGAATGTTTGTTCTGTGCTGACTGAATGTGTTACCACGTGGTATTTAAAGAAAAGTCACGATGGTTGAGTTTATTTCACTGAAACTTTAGCTTTAACTCTCATAAGTTTTGCATTTCACTGTTCAGTTAAATATTCAAATTGAACATTTATTCAACCAGATGATTGTAGGATTTGGAACAACTCAAGCATTTTGGAAAACCGTAAAGAATGGTTTTAAAAAAGTTCAAAAGTTTATTTCAGGTATGTTTTATCTTTAGAAATACTTTTACAAACGTTTATTGTATTCTAGATCAGTCATTTTTTACAGCTGACCTTCGTTTATTTAGTTATGCTTATTCTTTTGTCGTCTAACAAAAAGTAAATTAGCGAATAAAATTGTTTTATCATTTGTATAATATGTTTTCCTTTTTAATAATCAAATATTTTTCTTAAAGTGAACTGTATTTATTAAGACATCTGCTACAATATCAAAAAGTTAAATTTAAGTTGGTTATTTAGTTCTTTTGAGAATACTGAAAGTGGTTTTTTTTTTTTGCAGCTAGATTTGATAATCGACGTTCATATAAACCGTTCAGCACAAAAGCCACAGAGTTTCGTGATACGTTATTTTATGCACGATCAAATGCGATGACCAGTTATCCTTCCGGTGGTTCACTGTGCTAAACTTTTCAAATTTTTGCTGACTTGGTCTTTTACACTGACTGAAACGTTCAACCGTTTCAGTGATCAGTCGTCAACAGTGATAATTTCATTGCAGTTTAGTTTTAAGAATGCTTGAATTAGGAGCACTGCATAGTTATGGTTATATCACTTTTATTGTAGATATTTTATGCAAAATATTCATGCTACAGGATTGCATTTCAGGCGACTGACACTGTTCCGTTTATGCAATTGTGCAATTGTCTCTTTTTTTTTTTTAATAGGTTATTCTATTTTGTTGAAATTGGTTATATATCTGTCGTATGGTTGATGTCACTTTCTATTACTATTTTGTTTATTAGCAGTCTTTCATGTAAATATTCTTTCACTTTTATTCTACGAAAAAATGAAAAAAATGCTTCAATTTTTTTTTTTTAAATGCAAAATTTGTTATTTGTATTCGCAAATTATTTGCAATACCGATTTATAGGTTTGTGTACTGTTGCAATCGGTCTCTCTTTTTTTTAGTGTTCGCTTTTAAAAGTTTATTTTAAGTGAACCATATTGCACCAAAATAAAGTGTAACGATGTCCGACAATTTAGACGCTTGTCTGATAACTCCCAAACAAGAGGAAAATACGGTTACGGTTAATTTCCTAAACTACATTCCTTCTAACGTAGAAAAAACAACAATTAAAAATTTAAATTTTTGGTTCTTTATTGAAAACTATGTATTGTAATTACTTTTCCGTGCACTGTCTAACAGAATGGATGAGTATTGTAGTTTACCTTTACTGCGGTTCATTCAGCGGTTAACAATTTTCTTTTTTTCTTCTATACTGCTGTGAAGGCAAGTAAGCAGCCAAATTGAAAGATATGGTTTACTTGATCTCTGTTGGGCGTGATCGGATAACGCAATGATATTCCAATAGGTTGTATTTGACTGCTGTGCTGAAACTGTGATATTATTTCGGAAATAATAAATTCCACAGTTCAGTAATCGTTTTGAATGCATTGAAATTTATGAATGCAACTCAACTACGAAAGGAACATTAAATCAAACCATTGGTCTTATTGAAAATCTAGACTTTCTGCTGGGCACAGAAAAGAAGACGATGGGTCAGACGTAGATTTTTGTAATGAACTCTTGAACATCTGAGTCAAAAATGTACACGGCAAGTGAACAAACAGTTAATTAACTACACGGCCTCAAAAGCTGGGTGCGCATTGAAACTGTGCACACAGTTTGTGCATATCACCAGAACGGTGTTTGAAGAGTAGGATAGAGAAGATTAATAAAGTTTGTTTTTTAAATGATTAAATTCTTTAGTTAGGCATTTCAGTTGTTAAAAAAATTAAAATTCTAGCCAGCACTGTAGAAGAATTTTTTTTTACCAATCAGTCATGAACATTTTTAATACAATATTAATGACTCATGCATTTTTGTTTGATGCATCTTGACACTTGTTACAGTTTTGTAAAAAACGCATTTCCTTGTTTTCATTTTGTTTCAAAATTTCTATTTAATAATGTTCCAATTTCACTGATGCACTGTACAACCCGAAAAAGACTCCTGTTAACGTTAAATAAACTTCTAGCAAAAACTATCTGCATATCTGCACGATTTTTTGATCTTTTCAAAGATTGCATGCACTGCATACACTTGAACAACAAAGTTTAGTTACAAAATTTTGACGTATTGTCACCCAACAAATTCTTTTTTGCAACAACTAACGACACTGTAAAAGGAACACCATTTTACCATCATTTCAGTTCAGTCATATATTCGGGAAAGAAGAGTGACTTTACCAAAACATAGCTTTAGTTTTACATGTTCAAAAAATGTAAGCAAAATTTACGCCAAAATTATTTAAAACGTTTATCTTTTTTTTAATTAATCCTCACAGTTTCAACACAGTATCATCTAAAGCAGCGGGAAAAAGGTGCAGATGTGTTTAGAAATTGTTCAGAGCTTAATTTTGCTATAGAATTTATATTGGTTTTCGTCATCACCTTTTAAATAAAATATCTCCGAATAAGTTTTTTTAAATTAAGACATGAAGAACTGCTGTTTCCATCGTAATTCTTGGTAGCTTTTTAGTGAGTTGAGAAATACTTTACAACGACGGCTACTTAGCTGCATATAAATAAAGCCTACCACTTTTTTTTAAGAAAGTTATCAGCTTACTAAAACACAAGCACGTTTCTGCTAATCCTTGACAAGTTTAAGGCAGCGGCTGTACTTTTTAAATTCGCCACTGGTTTAAACGTACCCAAGTTTTAAATCTTCACAACAACTGAGTTGCCATGTTCCACCAAATTGGTTAAAATCTTTCAATTTAAAGACCTTGCTTTTAAAACTTTAGAAACCACTGCTAAATAACAAAAACTAATATCATATTCCTGCCGCAAGTAGCGCACAAATTTCCCATAAATTCAGTTGCACCTTGCTAATCAGTTGTAGAGGATAGAAGAATGAATATAAAAGAAACTTTCGAAAAAGATACATCAAAAGTAATAGCAGCGCACAAACCCTATAAACATTTCTGAATGGCTTACCTTTCAGCTTACACAAAAAAAGAGATATGCGTTTTGGCCGAATTCTAAAAAAAGAAAGAACAAAGATGGAAAAAAGATTTTGCTCAGTATTATTTGAAATAAAAGAGTAGACTGTACAGCTTGCTGAGACTGTTGAACCGCGAACGTGGTTACACTCAGTAAAGCACATTTGGCGCAACTGTTTAGTCTTTTATATCCAAAATAAATAATTTCACTTTGGAGGCTAAAACCCCCCGTCCGCCTAAAGTGTTGTGTAGATCAGAGACAAGAATAGTTGCAAAAACTTTGAAGATTGTTGTTTAGTGACTTATTATTCTGCAATGTTGCACAACATTTGTATTAATTGCTTAAACTGCTGTAGGAACGTGTTATAACTTTGCTAACCAGTTTATTTGAAAAAAAAAACTACGTATTTGAGCAGAACGTATGTTTAGCTCTTTTAGCGCCTGGTGTTTTAAAAAGCCTTTCAATAGAAGATAGAAGCTGAAAGCCATTTTTAGACATTTAGATCTGTTCTTTCTTCAACACTCTAAAGAACGAACATTATTCTTTGGTATACTTTACTAGTTTGTAATTAATTCAGTGCAATACCTGGCGACAAATCCAGGACAGGTCGCGTTGCTGTTTCCAAAAACCGCTAGCAAACTGCTTCGAGCCTTATTCAGTACTACAAAGTTAAATATAGAAAAGTTTCATATCAACACATATATGTTTTGGAATATCCGTTTAAAAGTATTTTTTACGGCAAAGGAATTTTCAGGTTATTTTCTCACACTTATCGCAGCCCTTTTTAAGCCAGCACGCTAAGCGCATTAATAGACGTAATTTGGCCTCAGAGATGTGATAGAACTTACTGAACAAAATATCATACTTTACTGTAATGCATTTAAAAATGATATATTTGTTTAAAAACGTAGTGCTTTTAGCAGAAACCATAGTGCATTCCTTTCAAAACAGTGGAAGAGAAAGGTTCTAAAAGCTAATTGGCCATTATGCTTGACCGTACATTAACAATATCAAGTTTGTGCTGACATTAGTACAAGAAAAAAAAGTAGCTACACATATATCTCAATGGACTCTAAATACTACTAATGCATTCTCAACAGCTCCTCATCTGGTATTCTTCTTTGACATTTATGTGCGTTCTTTTCTGCACTAAAAATCTAGCAACACCAAGATGGGTATCCTGGCAAGCAAAATTCAATTTTGTCGCTATGAAAAACAGAAAGATATGTTTATAGCTCAGTACGCATTTAAAAAGCAATTTTCTGTTAAGAAATATTATAAGAAAGTTTATAGTGCTAAAGTCAATAATTGGATTAATACATCTCACTGGAGCAACAGGAAATGGCGTTTTGATCACATCAGATTTTCTTTGACATAGTGCTGCGTAAAAGCGTGGTTAACTACTTCAAAATTACTTAGTTATTTACCAAAATTTTAGTTAAATTTGCCAAATAAATTCTAATTTTTTTGGCAAATAAATAGTGATTTTCTTCTTAATTTTTCTTGTCAAAAAGTAGTATCAAAACAATGTGACCTGACAACACAAGACAGTGCTACTCATGCTACTCATGGTTATTTTGATATTTGGAAAACGATAATATCCAGTGGGAAAAAACATTACTATTTTTAAAGTTCTGTATTATACAAAAGAACTAATTCCTCTGCAAGAAATAAAACAAGAAATCTTATGGCGCTCGAATCTGTAGTTAGGTCGAGACATCTGACCGCAACGACAAAAAATGACGTTCCAATCAACATCCGAAAACGTGCTTACTGAACGTTCGTGTACCTTAGGCTTACACAGTTAACTGCTAGTCTTTGAGCCACATTTGGCAAACTAGATTGGAAAAAATTGGCACAGAACTAAAAACTACAACTGAAAATACAAAATTTCTGAAATAATGTTTTTTGTTTTACTGTGATATGTTAACCTTATCCTTTCACCGCAGTTATTCTCGACGTTTTATCATACCAAAAATCTTGCTACACCAAGTTATGCTACGTAACATGCTGTCAAAGAAGTTGATCTACTCTACTTCAAACTCTCGAGTTTTTTTCAGCATCCCGTTCGATCTTAAATTAAGGTCACCAATCTTTAAGAATTCTGTATAGAAAAATCAATTAACTTGCTGTCATTGTGTCGTTAGTATGTGCCGCAGGGCACGCTGGTCAAGTCAGCGCGCCCTGCGGCACCATGGATTAGAGACCTTTTACTGAGAATTTTCTCCATCTGACCGAAAATTTTCCCAAAGGTCAAGCTGAGCTGTTTAAAAAAAAAAACACACGAAGCGCTTTGTTTGATGACCAATAGTTTCTGGCATTTCCGGCCAACAATTGGCAATTTTCCTGTTGCCATGAAATCTGCCTATTCAATTACTTTCTCGAAGCGAATGCTATGTGTGGTGGTGTTTGCTTAAGCGGAAAGAATTCCTTTTTGAGCAGGTGCAATGGCTCCATCATTGGTTTTCCGACTTTGGCCTATAATTCTGCAACTAGACGAGAGGATTTCAGTGAAGATAATGACACTACTGATGCGAAAGAGCATGGCGCTTTAGAGTTTGCAGAGATGCCTTCAAATTTACCAAATTTTTATTGAGGTGTTTTGTTCAAACAGTGTTTGTCGTCTTGCTAAGTTGCTATTAAACATTTTTATTGGACTGCAAAAATCCAACGCAAGTCTTTCAGAACGCAGTCACTCTACTTTTAAATTAAAAAAAAAAAACTAGTTACTATTTAGGTTTTTTGGCGTCACTATCACAACCGTTATGTTTCAGAAACGTGATCGCATCAGCGTGTCTCGCGGTACTCGCGAAATGTTGACAATCTAAGAAAAAATCTTTTTCTGTTGACGTATTCGCGACGTAACATTTCACTGATAGTCAACTTGTCGGTCAGCGTAGGTACCCTTCTATGGATGTGATTACTCGGTACAATTATTCAGACTGATTGTTGAAGTAATATAATTGCTGGCAGTTCAAGTTATTTGTGCAGGAAGTTTTGGCAACCCCCATAGTGGATGTAATGAATTTACTGGCATTCTGAACCAAAGGAGAACAATTTATGACTTTTGTGGAAACTTTTCAGCTCTAACTCTACACTGTGATAAATTTTGACATTTTAGAACTGCATTTTATGACAAATAAATTTCTCGGCATGAATTCATTAGTTTACAGTAAATCCTGTGTTTTCTTCCGTCACTTCTTCAACACTTAGAGAAAAGAAAGAGGTCGTTTTCACTCACTCTTCCCCAGTGATCTTGAAAATCCTTCTAATTACGTTTATCGGATTAATCTAGCTACTATGTGCGAGTTTCCGCTTAGGCAACACTGTTAAATGTAGAAAATTTAATGGAATCAAAGTTATTGAACCGTACGGTTTTTTTGCTCGCATCAGAGGACCATTTCTTTCACCATTCTAAATTAAAGTTTAAACCAATTTCATAACAAATATTGCAATGCTAAACTATTTCTTCTTCCTGAAGAAGATGACTAAAATGTGAGTGACGTTTCGCACTATAATTTTGGAAACAGTGATGGTTGATTTAGTTGAGAGCGTCGGCAGCGGCCTTTATTAACAGAACGGCACTCTATTGAACCGTTGTTTCTCAAACTTTCACAGTGGTGTTCCCACTGTCGTTCTCATAAATCTGAGAATAATCAAGTAATTATAGCCACTGAGTTATGATTGGGAAACTGTTAATACATTATAGATGAAGACCTGATGCTGAGGGGATTCTATAACAGGTAAAATGGAGGCAGAAGTCGAACGTTACAAGGGGTGCTTAAAACTCTATAATTTTTTAGAGAAAACACGTCTAGTAAAATTATTTGTTTGCATATTACTCGCTTCGTTTTCTCATTTTTTGATGCTGCCTTATCAGTAAAAAAAGTTTATCAAAATTTGGAGCTTTGTTTTGTTCACTGCAGGCTTCTAAACCGTAGTTGAATGAAGTGTCAATTGCCAAGTGGAGAATTGATTGTAGCGGTGGTAAATAAAGAACGTTATGACTCTTTCTGATCTATTTCATTTAATTAATTTTTTAAAAAATTGGATGTGATTCTTAATTGGATAAAATAAAAGAAAATTTTTTGGAAACAAACTCGAAGAAATATTATAAAAAATAATAACTTTCAAAGAAGTCGACCTGAAGTTGCTGGAGCAAACCAGAAACAGCTGAAATATTTTTTCTTTAAATCTCAGTAACACTGCTATTTGGCTGCTAAAGAACTCTTCTGCAGTGCCGAATAATAATTAGTCGCTGCAGGCTTCTGCATTCAAATTGAAAGGGTTAAAACCACCACAGGGATGGAAAATAAGACTAAATTTTTTTGTCTACCTGCTATAGCGCGTTTAGTTTAGCTGTGTTTACTTATGCTGGATGCTTATCGTTCTCAAATTTTAACGCTAAGAAGCCTGTTTTTTTCAGCGAGTATCAAGAAGCCTGGAAGGGTATCTACTTCTACCTCTACTGCTTTATGCTGCAAGAACCACGATTTTTGAATATGGTGTAATTTTTTAAAAGCTGTTTGCTAAAGCATTATTTTGAAAAATATGCTGTTTCGTCGCATAATCATTTTGGCGGTATCTATTATAATGGTTGAAAAATAAGGTTTGTAAAAGAGGTCTCAAAGGGAAAGCTTAATATAATTTCTACATTGAAATTTTGCATGATTCGGCAGGTGAAATGACTTTCCATTTATTGCTTGTTTGCCTTGATCGGTTTCAGGATTTCTGCCAAGTTTCCAAATGAATTTACTAAGCAAAAAATCTTCTGTTATTAATGAAGTATCTGTAAAAAAATTGTTCATTTTTAGTTGGTACATAAGCTGATTTCAATGATTTTGCGAAAAAGGGACTAGAGAGTAAATTTTGAGCTTTAACTACTACTTCAGTAACTTAGTGATCTTTAGACATAATTTTGTGTTGCATTTTAAAAGCAGATTATAACTTTTTGAACTACCATGTTTTGCTGGAAGGTTGGCCTTCATTCAGCACAAACGTTGAAAAAAAGAGTTGAAAACGTTAAGATGACACACATATAATAACTATTCTGATTCTATCAATAAAAAAAGTTTTCCTAGAAAAATAAGTATTACATACTGAAATTAATACTTTTTAAATACTACTGAGGATTAAATTTTAAAACTTTACAGAAAAGAACGGTATAGGTGAAGAATAAAAGTAAGGCTTTTCTATAACATCTGTTCGCAGTGTTTCTTCTCAGGAATGAAAGCTAGTGCAACATGTAAAAAGCTCAAAATTACGAGGACAGATTTTCTAGATTTATATGATTGTAACTGGCCGTTGGGATGCTAAAACTAGAACACTGTTTCCAGCTGCATTGCTAAGATCAAAAACTGTGCAAAGGAAACTGCAGCAACGATATCATATAAGTGTCGATGCGTTGGCTTTAGCTATACTAACAGAGACTTGCTGCAAAGACCTTTTCCAAAGACAAAACCCTGCCAGTATCTTTGCTCATCGTCAGGCACCTAAAACTTTTTCAACGGCAGTCTCAAAGATTTAGAAACGTTTCGCAGAACATCTCTGATTTTCAAGCCAGTTGGATTTTGAGTTGGAAAAAACTCCTTCCTATTTTTCTTTATCATTGGGGGAAGGCAACTATTCTGAAGCATAGTACCAATAATTTTGTGAAATTTGTATGATTGTTATTTTATCTGTCTTAAACTCTGCCATTTTTGTTTAGTTCGCCTTTTTGAAACAGCATTTATATTAAAACTGTATAATTGAAAGAAGAAAGTGATGTCTTATTATTACGAGGCATTGTTGGAATATCTTTAGTCACTGCAGAAACGTCGCTGAAAAGTGTAAGAATTTCTGATGCAGGATTGGATTTTTGCTTTTTTTTTCGTTTTTCGATCTTAATTGTTCAGTAAGGAGAAAGAAAGTGTTTTGCGACTTCAAGCAAGACCACTATCTAATTTGTTTGTTGTCATTGAGATGCAGCAGATTATGTCTATATAGGACTTATTATCTAAGCAGGTTGTTC